GATATTCTAAATGGATCTCTATCACCCCAGGAAGCCTGGAGTCACGGTCCCATCCACCTAGGGAAGAGTCAGTGTTCTGTAAGCATAGCCACTTGCTTCCCCATCTGTTCCCGATTTAGTCAGTCTTATCTGAGCAATTAATCTTCCTGGTTGACCATAGTTCTGTCCCACCTTATGCCCATTTTGCCAGTTCCCATTTTGGACCCATCTCATCTGGTGGTTTTGCTCTATAAAAGTCCTGGAAAAAAAAAAAAGAGTTTTAGCAACCCACTGGGGACCCCTTCTGTCTCTCAGACAGTAGCTTTTTTTTCTCTCTCAATAAATATATTCTGTTACTAACCTCTGTTGTTTCTAAAATTCACTTTTCAATTTTAGAGAGCACAAACTCACACCGGACATGTAGTAGGTTGGGAATCTTGTGTTCCCCTAGATCAAGCTGGCTGTGGTGGTTCACACTTATTATACCAACACTCTGGGAACTGCAAAAGGAGCATCTCAAGTTTGAGCCCCAGCTGGTGAACAAGCTAGTAAGCTAGGCCTTATCTCAAATTAAAAATTAAAAAAAAAAAATAAAAGTACTATGGAGGTAGTTTAGTGCAAAGGCTTTGAGTAAAATCTCCAGTATCACAAAAAGAAACAGAAAAACAGGACTGAAAATGTTATCAATAGGTTATATAAGATATGAGATAAATACAAGTAAAAAATTAAGTATTTATAGTGATACAGCTTATAATCTTCTTCTTGATTCTTAAAAGGATTTAAAAAGCCTTACTAATTTTTTTTTTGTGCTGGATAGAAGTAAAAAATAATAAGAGAACAATTTTGAACAGTTGCAATAATGATAGAGCAAAATTAAAGACATTATAGGAAATAAGGAAATTGATCTTTTACAAAAGAGAAGGTGACCAAGAAATAGAGAAGAGGGGAAAGAGATGAAAAAAGGAATTAAGATATGTTATGTGAAAGGATTTTGCCCTAGATAGGACACTACAGCAATGAGAGAAGAGACCAAGGGACCTTTACCTGGAGATCATTTTCCCCACCCCTAGGCAATTTACCTGTGGTGCAAAACGAGCTCCAGTGGGCTGCTTGGGAGTCAGCAATGCCCCTCTAGGTACCACCCCAGTCCAAAGTTACATGTATGCCCCCCAATCCTCGTGTCCGGCAGAGAAAGCCAGACCCCAGTGGTCCTGAGATTCTCTCCTCATTCTTAGAATAAAGGCTACTTTTACTTTATATTTCCTGTCTCTCTAACCAGGCCAAAAATCCCAATCATTATGTACCTGTGCTGACTCTCCTCAGGAATGCAATCATACATATATATGGTCAAAATTTTTCTCAGAGAGGAAAAATGCAGATTTAATGAATACATGAACAGAGACCATAATATTACCCTAATCATAACTCTAAATCATTAAAAATAATAAGGGAACCATAAAATATTTACCTTTATGCTGTATGATTTTTTCCAGGTTGTGCAGTAATTGCTGGGCTGTAATGTGATGGTAGTGGGGAGACAGAGTCAAGGTGAAATTGTGCTTTCTCATCATTGTTCATTATTTCAGAAGCCTCAGTGGCACAGTGTGGTGAGCAGCAGTGTTTTTACTCTTTTTTCACAGATTTAGGAGCTAAACACAGAGATCCCAAGTAAAAGGCAAATGTTTTGAGACGGTTTCACTATGCAGTAGAAGTTGGCCTTGAACTCACAGTGATCTTCCTGCCTCACCCTCCAAGTGCTGGGAGTACATGTGTGAGCTACCATATCCAGCTGCTTTCAGCAATTTACATCAAAGAAAGAAATTAATAATTTTTTGAGCTAGAAAGAATGTCAAGGTTATTTTATTTTTCCTTCTTTTTTTTTTTTTTTTTTTTTTTTTTTTTACTGTTAACAGGGATTGAACTCATGACTGCCTGCTTGCAAGGCAGATGCTTATGCCGCTGAGCTAAATCCCCAGCCTCTTTTCCTTCTTTTTTTACATATGAAGTAAAGCACTGTAAATGGTTGACTTCAAGTTCACATTCTAGTTAGTGAAGAATTAAAATAGAAAAACTCCAGTATCTTTTTCTTTTAAAAATTTCTTTGTATAAAAATTTTCCTAACATCAGAAAGCATGGAACAAAAAGTATCATTTAATATTAAGTGAAATGATCTAATAACGTATGGGAGGGCTACTTCTCTGCATAAAAGACCATCATGTGATGATATCATCATAAAAGATGCAAAGTGTTTTCATTTCCAGTATTGGCTGTGAAAAGCAACTGGCCAGGTGACACACCAAGCTACATTGCTACAGTTACAATTGCTATAGTCATCTTTTATGCAGCAGCCCAAACTGCTTGGGGGAAATTCTCATTTTCATGGATTTGACTGTTTTACTTAAATAAAATCCATATGTATGATTTGTCATTTATTTATTTGTCTTTTTGAGACAAGTTTTGACTAGCTGGCCTTGAGCTCACTTTGTGGCACATGTTAGTCTCAAACTTGCAATGATCCTCTTGCCTCAGCCTCCCAAGTGCCAGGATTACAAACAAGTACCACTGCACATGGCTTGGATATGATTTTTTTTAAATGTTCATACTGATCACATTATAGTGAAATATTCCAGATCCTCCCTCAGAGAGAACTTTAAAGTCTTCTCCCTTGCATCTACCACCAGTTAAAACAGTCACAGAGTTTTTATCATCTCTAACCTTTAGAATCTTCTCTTTAAATATGGCAAATTTAATTGTTTGAAATCTTCAAATTCTGTCACTGTCATGTCTGTTCTGGGTAGGAATTATTGGGTTTTTTAAAGGTGATTCTTCAGGATGTGGACAGAGCTCTCTTTTTAAGGATGTGATTCTTTTCAAAGTAGTGACTTACTTTACCATTTCTTCTGTGTTACTTACGTCATCTGCTTTCTAACTAAGATTTGGCAATCATGTTTGAGCAAATTGTCTTCTATCTTTGAATCCTAAAATGTCTCTGCCATGTTTATCATATTGCTGTATCTAAACTAGTATTACGAACTAAAACATAATCCCGAAAGCTTTTAGTTGGATAAAATAATTTTAAAGCACAACCAAAGGTTTTGAAGATCTTTTTTCCCTTCGTGGAAGACTTAAAATAAAAAAGTAGGTAAAAACTTCACTGCCTATAGGGCAAAGTTAAAATCATCTTTGTTATTTAGATGAACAGTTGACTGTGTAAGTCACTGTTAAAGAAAGAATGCAGTACAAATGGCTTTAATTGTCAGAACAGGAAACAGAGGATATAGGATGGACCCTTTCATCCCAGTTATTCTACATGCTTTCAACATTTATTAAAATGGAAGTTCTTAGTGCAGAAAAATTTGCATGTGGATTTATTATTTTTTAAATCTCTTCAGAATCAAATATTAATTTTCAAAATAACTCTAATGATTTAATACATTAATAATGCACATTTCACTATTAGCTGGTAAAAATATCTTCCTAGCAAGGTATATCTGAAAACAGCCAGTGTTCTTTGGGCTCACGATGGGAAAGGCACTGCAGAATTTTGCATACAGTCATGCAGAAAAACAAGGTTAATTTATCAGAATTACGTAACTGACTAAAGACTTAGGAAAGAGTATTCTAAGAAATAGTCAAAGAAGCAATTACATTTCTTAGTGTCTTCAAATCACTTAGAATTTATTGTATTTTAAGTGCCATTAAAAGTTCTTTTTGATTGGAAGTACCCTGTAAGTGATAGACAGTTTAGTGCTGTGCAAATTAGCAGTTTTCCCTAATTTTCCTCACATGACAGTCAAATTTTTCCCTATTATTTCTTCCAAGCCAACAGAATAGAAACCTTTGCAAAATGTGCACCACTTGCCTCATTATGCAGTTCAAGATTTAAATTTTATCATTCATGCTTTCATTTTAAATGTGATCAATTTGGTGCATTTTGCATGTAATTTCCCACCTATTACTCCTGGAGATCAATTTTTCTTTTCATTTAGGCCTACATCTCTGTGCATGAAGAGTTACAGTTTCTCAGTCCTAATATCCTGTCCTGGGCTGATGTGAGGATGTGCATTTGTGTACATATGTATTTCTTATTTGGATCAGGGTAGGCTATTGCTACACACCTCATTCCCGCCTTCTGTTATTGTTTGTCTGAGACAGTTGAGACAGGGGGGAAGTAGGCCTATACTTATTTTAGAAGCCCGTTTTTTGAAAAAAAAAATGTATTTGAGTACTGCATTTTTAAATCTTCATGTGATGTGCCAGGTTTCCCTTCAGATGGCTAAAGGAAATATTTCCCTACAGGTAACCAAGTACACCTTATCTCTCTAGGTAATATTGGATTCTGAATTCATTTCTCTATAATAGCTGTAAATATTTTCATACTCTTTCAAATAAGCACAGAACTTGAGAAGCTGGATAGATGATTAAGAGAAAACCAATGACTGAAAAAATAGTAAGATTTTTCTAAGAGAAAGTCATAAAACGCACAAGCACAAAACAAAGCAAAACTCTTAGTCTCATTAGGATTAATGACAGAAATGAAGCCTGGGAGTAACAAGTTCCCTTTTAAATTTATTTTATTACATATCCTGCACAACTATCTGTTCATAAGTATGCATAAAGAGACATTGTCAGCCTTTACACACCATGCCCAAAATTTGAATGTGCCAAATAAAACTAAGTACCTTGATCCACTAGATATAAGCTTTAAAAATGCTAAAAGGGTCTTTTAAGAGACAAAAATTAAGCAAATAAACAAAGTAGACAGAATGAATTATATCACACTTGACATGTAGTCTAGTTTAATGGAAAAATTATAAGCCCAACAATGAATTATGGGCATGCCAATAACTTCCTCCAATTACTCTCGAGTTCACAAATTAGAGTAACTACTTAGTTGAACATATGATTAAATTAAAGAAAATAAAAACCTGTCTTCTTGGTAAAAGGAAAGTAAGTATTAAGACACACAATAATGTTTCATTTCATCCCGAAAATATAATTAAAATAGATTCAGCGTTTACCTCTGAGGATTAAAAATCCATTGGATACTTTAGGAATATATGCAGCTCATAACAGCTCTCCAGCGAAACTGTTCAGTTCCTACAAATAAAAGGAAGGTAAGAGAAGATATTCAGAGCCATACATGTCTTTGTAAATCCATGGTGATTAGTCATGGAAACATCATTATCGTTCCACATTGCTATTTAAAAAGTACCTCTCTCTGATTGTGATTAGCATGAAGTTGCATTTTATTACATGCACAATGGAGCAGTGAAAATATGCCTGTCTAGCACTTGTAAGATATTAGCACAGACTCCAGATTATGAAATATTGCCCAATCAAATCACTCAAATTTTTATTTCAACTGGGAAAGACTGAACAAAAGCATTTTGATATTGATATGATATTGATAATTGAAATGAGATATATTATATCATAAACATTTGTATGGTCATAACAATGTATAAGAAATAGAGCATTTTGGCTTTTTAGTTTCTATCATCAAACACTTTAATAAGATTTTAGTAAAAATCCACACAATACACCTAGGATGTTCTTACAATCTATGTCAATGACCTGTAAAAATAAATTTTAAATAAAAATTATTTTTAATTTATTAGTACATACTTGTAGTAGTTAGTGTTTACATTCTTTGTATGGATCTAGTACATATACATAATATATCTTAATTCCTTTTTATCCCTGTTCTCAACCCCTGTCTCTCATTCTTCTCTTGATTCTCTTCTATCTACTTGCTCTAAGAAAGTAAAATGATAAACAAGATATGTGATCATTTTGTTGCTGCTTATGGTTATTTGTGTATATTCACACACACTACTGGAGAAAGAGGAAACTATAGGGCTGAGGATAGAGCTCAGGGCACAGTGACTTCCCAACAAGCATAAGGTCATGAGTACCAAAAAAATAAAAATAAAATAAAATAAAATAGAAAGAGCGTGTTGTCTTCCAGTCCCGCAGCCTGGTCAGCCCTAGGCTCACATATGAGTCACGACTCTCAGTCAGCACCATGGACTCCTTCAAGCGCTCCCTGCCCTCCATATCTACCATTCCAATAAATCTGTAACCTATTAGGTACTGAGGACTCAATAACACATGAAAAACAAGTCCTACTAGTAAAGTAAATATTATAATCATCTTAGGGATTTAAATAATATAAAGGATATTAAAAGGGGATGTTTTGCTAAATAGAAGAGCAATTTGGCAAAGATATTTAATTTAGCAGAAGTAAATAGGTGAAATATGATATGAAAACTTCAAAAAGGACCTGTGGAGTGTTTTTTAAACAGTAGTTGAAGGAGCATAGTCATATAAATTAGAAATTTTCTTTGGGTATGCTGGCCTAATAAAGTGCACAACTGTGATTCCTAAACAGCAAATAAATATTAGAATAATGGTGTATCACATTGTGTAATTCTGTGGTAAACAGTGATGTATAAGATGAAATGTTAGACTCATGCATGGTCCTAGATTTTGTGGTACATCAGATTCTCTCTTTAAAATGAATTGAAGAAAAGCTAGAAAGACATTGATAATCAAAACTTGTTCAAATCAAATATTGTTTAATGGGAATAGAGGAAAATTGTGAAAAATCAGTTTCATAAAAACTGCTGACCGTGGCTGAACTGAGCCAGAGCATTGTCTAGAACACAGATTATGAGGAACTATACCTGAACATTTTTACTGAAGTACACAATATGAGAGAAGTGATAAGATTTAGAACACAAACACACAAGCACACACACACACACACACACACACACACACACACACACACGACATTGATAAATGTCTATCGATAAGCTTTTAGTAGACAAAAAATAACCTAAGCCAATATAAAACAAACATTTGTCCAAATGCTTAGGATGGTCAATAAAACCACACCTAAAGTAGTCAGTATACCTAATAAAATAATAATGTGAGCCAATCTCATAATTGTGATCATGAAATAATAGGGAAGAGGAAAACATTAAAGAGGGTCAATAAACTCTGTACTTTAGAGAGATGACTGGTTTCAAAAGTATAGCCAGGTCTTTCTTAAAGTCCATTCAGACAAAAGTGATCTGATTTCAGGGTCAGAGATTTGCTAGTACAATTTATAATATTGTAATTCTGTCTTTGATTCTCTAGAAGATGAGTATAAAGATCTCCAAGGCAAAACATTAAAGGTATAGCATTTGAATTACATTAAAGTAATTCAAAAAGGAATAACCAGATCTTTGAAGTTTATGGTGGTGTATTAGGAGTATCTGACAACAAAGGAGAAAAATAACTGTCCTGGACATCAGTGTTCCTTGTAAAAAAAAATGCTCTCTAGAAATGGATTTATATTTGTATCTTTATAAATGTTTCAGAGAGAAACAAATGAAAACTTCTGCTTTAAATGAAAGGGTAGAAAATTTTACCATTTTTCTGTCTTTTACTACAAACTAATATAGTGATTCTCATGTTTTATTTCAATGTAGAAGAAAATATGATTTTTTCACAAAAAACATATACAGTATATAATTTTTCCTTCAAATTGTAATTGCTCTGTACTGAAATCTCTTTTTGCTATTAAAAATTAGTATATATCAGTGTAGGCCATAAAAACAGAGAAAATAATCTTAAGGAGTTTATTATGATAAAAAGTTCATAACAAATTTCTTGAATTATCTTGTGAGACTAATATTACATGGTATCCGATAAGGAACATCTCAATTGTTTCAGTGGCACATTTTGGAGAAATGGTTTGCCATACCTGCAAAAAGAGTTATCCTTGTATACTGAGACTAAATGCTGTGAATTGTTATATGACAACTTTATCTTCTCTCATACTTTGACTTTTTGTTCTTTGTAGGCATAGAATGTCAGGAAGAAGAGAAAAAAAAACATGGCTACTATGTGCCTGGAAATTATGTTTAATGATTTAAAAGCACTTACATTATTCATCATGAATTGTCTTATGAGACATTACTATAGCGTTTTACAAATACAGAACTGAAACTTAGAAAATGATTTGATAACATTCTCAAAATTACAGACTTTTTCATTGCTTATCGCACTCTCTAAAGTATCAGGAGTAAGAGCTTTTCCATGAAACCAGTTAGAATAAATTTGAAATTCAACATAACAGTGATAACAAAACTTGAAACCTGTTATCAGTGTAGTTGGTCAGAACTGGGTGATTTAAATATTGTGTTATCCACAATTCATGGTTATCAAATAAGAATGAAATTCTAAATGGAGCTTTCCCCTTCATTTGTTTGTTGTTTTGAACTTTTTTGAAAGGATGGTTATTAAAATGTAATAAACTTTGTATGTGAATGCCAAGGTTCAATTTATACTACAACATTATAAAAAGTGACACCTAATATTTTAAACAAGATATTTTGCATAAATAAATAACTGATTAAATTCACATATTTATAACAAATTGACATCATATAAATGAAATTTCTTCAAGACACATTTATGCTACCTGAGTTTTCATTAGGAGAGATAAAATGGAACATACCAGTCATTTAATATTAATTCAAACATAACAAAATAGCTAAATAGTTCTTATTTCTAACCTCACAAAATTGTTACAAATAAGAAGATATATAATTTGTAATTTTAATACAAAAATGACTATTTGCTAGAGCAGTGAAGTTAGGAATGACAGAGAAGACAGAAGAACTAAATCCACTGAATAATTTTTGACTGTTATTAAGTACAACTTTTTAAGATTAAAAGCATGCATTTCCAAGTTATAAAAAGCACAGCGACAGTATTGATTGACTCTCTCTATAGACACACTTAAAATAAACCATACAAATGAAAAACGTGCACGTTCACTACACTAAATTCTATTTTGGTATGAACTGCACATTGCCTGTTCTTCAACAGAGAAAAGCAGTAACAAATGAACACATTTTTTTATTCTTTTTTGTTTCAAGCTGCCTAGTTTTAAATGCTTTGCTTGGTGGCTCCCAACAGAATGATGAGGGCTTCACTCCGGATTGCTTTGGTGGCACACATTTCCCTTTGTTCTTGACTTTCTTAGAGATGTACACAGTAAGGAGATCAGCATTTTTATTCACTTTAATGTTTAAAACCCAAGAGTGAAAGCAATACCCTGTTATCTTTTTAGTAGGCCAATCAAGTTAGAACTTTTTATTCTTTTTAAACTTTCAACAAGTTGAAATTATACTGCAACTATAAGTTTTTTGAACTGGACCACATAATTTGTGTGGTAACATTTATTTTTTATAGTATATATCTCTTTAAATTATATATGGAAACATATACACGGCATATTTTGTGCCTGGCAGATATTAAAATCATATTTGTTGAATGCTTTTAATATGTTAATCACTAGTATTTTGGCTACTTTTCTTGTTGCTGAGATAAAATATTTGACACTTAAAGCAGAAAAATTTTATTTCAGCTCAGAATTTGTAGAGGTTTCATTCCATAATCAGTTGGCTCCAAGGCAGGGTGTTATGGCAGAAAGCTGTCACAGAGGAGAAACAGTTCATGGTGTGCCAGGCAAAAGGCAGCAAATCAGTAAGCAGCTGTAGGAGATGCAAGCCAGCCTTCTTTTTGTTGCTTTATATTGCATTCATGCTTCAAGCCTATTGATTAGTGCCACTCCTACCCTGGTGGGACTTCCATTATTCAAGTTATTAATCCTAGTATCACTCCCTTATTTCCCATCCACACACCCAAATCCAGCCACCATTAAGACTCCCCACCTAAGAATAAATGAGCCTTGGTGGTACATCTAGATGCAAGCAGTAACAACCCTTCTAATACTCCCCATCTATTTGCTCATTGAATTCTCACCACCTGAAGACACTGTTTTAATCACTAATGAAAACACCGAGAGACAGAGACCACAATTTCAAATTGAGGCACACGGGGTGGGGGGGAATTAATCAAGCAAATAACAGAACTAAAATTTATATAAAAGCAGTAGACCTCAAAGCTTGATTTGACAAATGCTGTTGTCTTTGATGAAAAGATACCAATAATGGCATTCTAATTATAGCTGCACGAAAATCATCCTTACCCAAGTTACCCACAATTAATTAAAAAAACAGCCAAACACAGAAATA